CCAGAACGAGCCGGTGTTCCTCCATCTACAGCTGTGAGGATTAAATTATGAACAGCTTTTTGCTCTCGATCCAAAGCTTTTTTTAAGATTAGTTCAGCGAACTTGGACCCGTCTCTTCCAGTCTGGATCTCGATGTTAAAATATTCACTTTCACTGAGATGATATGTTTTAACTGAGTTGCTTCCAACATCAGGATCAACCGCATTACTCAGAGAAAACCTCTCTCCTTTCGGCGTCGCTTCAGATATATCCAAATGAATGACCCCTCTTCGAAATTGTGGGGCGTTGTCGTTCATGTCAAGAATTTCAACTTCAGTATTGAAGATTCTTACAGGGTTGTCTAATATTACCTCAAGTTTGAGATAACAGGATGATTTTGTTAAGCATATATGCTCTCTGTCAATCTTTTCAGCAATATAAAGCTCTCCAGTGTCTTTGTTCACATCCAAATATTTTTTGTTTGCGATTATGTCAACCCGCATCTTTCTCTCTTTTAAGGTTTTCACGTCGAGACTGAGATCGGTAGCAAGGTTTGTTATCACGGATCCCTCTTTCATTTCCTCTGGTATGGAATAATGACTAACTGAACTGGACGCGTAATGAACGAGAGAAAACAAAAGTAGCGACACGTACCTTCTTTGCGCTTTCATTGTTAAAATAGACCGTAAGCTTCTGTGAAAGCTAGACGTGGGGCACTCTTCAAACCATTAATAACGCACTTAAATGGAACGATCCTGTTTGATCTTTGATTTTATATTCGTGAGATCGCAATCCACCAATGCCCTAAAAAAATAACAGGCCACGAATGTTGCATATGATGAATGCGCATTTCAGTATCACAAAGCTCTCCGTTTCTTCCTTTGTGCTGAACGTTCCCAACGAAGAGACCTTTGCGATGACGGCGCTTGAAGCTGTGTCTAACAAGTAAACAGCGCCACTCTGGAAGTCATATGAAGTGGCCATGAAGGACGATTGCATCTAAATTAACCTGTGGTAATATTACCCCACTGATTTTTGTAAATATTTCGCCATGGAGAACGAGTAAATATATTTTAATTTGCCATGAA